CCTGAAACACTTTTCAGCTTCACTCGTTCCCTAGTCTATCTGAACAGGCTTCATTTTCCCAGATGTCTTCCAATACACGTTGCATGTCATTTATGCAGTGTATAAAAATACTTCTTTTCTTTAATTCTCTCACTTGCTGGAATAACCAGAAAAGCAACAAATCCAAGGGAGCATTTTCCTGATTCATTAAGGATTTTCACCATCTCAGGCCCCAGCTACAAGTGCAAGCTTGCTCTATCCAGAAACAGAGAAAAATACCAGGATATAAATTATTATGGTTTCTTGTCAAGAAATGTTTTGATTTGGCTCTGCCTATCATTTTTTTTCCCTTTCTTAATGTCCTTCCCCGATTCCTTTCAGGTGCCCAGCCCCACACTGCATGCCATTACAGACAACCACGGAAACAAAGCCTGAGCTCCATCAGTGCATAGCTGCCACTCGAGGGAGCACCTGAAAGCCCCATCCCCTGCACCCCATGCCAAGTCTCTTCTAGGAGCTGTGGTGACAGTTACCAGCTACACAGCGTCAAACACAATGGGGGCATAAATCATCTTGCAGAGAGGCCTGCTATTGACTTTCAGCTGAGGCTGTCATGTTTCTAAGCCATTTTCTTTACAGAGCTTCTTTTGTTGTGGCTCTTTTACATTTCTTAGTTGTCATTTGCTGCATAAGGGTTTAATTTTACCTTTATTAATTATTATTGAAAAAACAAAACAAAACACCCTACACCTAAACTCTGATGCTTCCCCCCTCCCCAAATGAGGGTCAAACAAGAGTTATATCCATGTGGCAGCCACACAGCATCAAGTTTACTTGAGCTAATTCCATTTTTTGTTGAGGGAAAAAACCTCACAGTCCAATCTCCATACTTTTAATGGATATTAAAGCTTTTTTGGGTTTCACCCAAATTTATTTCTTCATGTGTTCTGCTGCTTATGATGGTATTTAATGGCCAGCTGACACTTTGACCTTTCCTGGTTGTCTTCATGCAATATTTGCTATAATACTTGTGTGTTGTGTGTCAGAAGAAAATTTAAGTACATTCACACTGGCTGCTACAGTCTTTTACAATAAACTGCCAGCAGACCTACCTTCACACGCCCAAGAAAAAGGATACAAGGGAAAAAAAAAAAGATATGACTGCAAATTACCTACAAAAGTCATCCAAGTGTGACTGACTACATCATTCAGTGCTGGAAAGGAACAGCTACACACAGGAGGGAAAGAAAAAAGGTCACTGCATGCAGTTTCTCAAGGGACAACTACTCAAGAAATTACATTCCAGTACTCTATGTGATATTCTAACAAAGAACACAATCCCACCTTTAAAGACTTGCTTTGAATACCAGGAAATTACCCTGCTAGGGAATATTTAAGAGGGATGCCATGCATTGTTTTAAACACACACAGGAGCCGTGGGTCCTACACAAAATAGGTCCAGTGTAGCAAAGGGTTCAGACACTGAAAGAGGTCGACTTTAAAAAAAAATAAAATTGTATTTTTAAATTTTTTTTTTTTTTTAAATCAGCCTGTAAGTCTGGTGGATGGTTCATTTTGACATAAGCAAGTGTGTTTGTATATACACAAATGTTGTATACAGATGCTTCCCCATATTCAAAATAGCCACTTTTGAGCATCACCTATAGGGCAACATTAGTGAAACACAAGTTAAACAAGGAAGCAAAGGGCCTAGCCAGGCCATTAGCAAGTTGTGCTGCTGATTTCTGGAGGCACGTTCAGAGACAGGACATTCACCTTCTGTGCTGCGAACAGCGAGCGGATGCGGATCTCTCAAGCCAAGCTGCCTATCAGAGAAGGCACCATGTTGTCTACTAGCCAAATATCTTTTATCATTGCAAGTGTGACCTTTTTTGAGGTCATTAATGATTCATATCCATTATTCTCTAACTACCAACTTTTCAAAAAAAGGTAATTTCAGGGATTTTTTTTTTTTTCTTAAAGTCTTCTGTTACCCAAGACACACCTGCCTTTGCTGAGAGGCAGGAAGTCACACTGCTTACCCAGGGACTCGCTCCCCGTCATCCCCGCTTGCTGGCACAGGATAAAAGCCTCCTGGGAAGCAGACAGACATCCCACAGCCAAGGGGATGTCCTGCCTGCAACCCAGCCCTGCTGCACTCACCGTGGGTCTAACCGTCCTTGGACCTGTCTGGGAAGCAGCGTAATCCAGATACTAGACACGCTCAGAGACCTGCAAAGTCCAGCACTGCCCCAAAAGCCTGATGACTCCACCATTTCTCCTTCCAACAAATTCACACTACTCGAATTCTTGCTTCTTGCAATCACTGTTACTTGCAGTTCTCTGTCATGTATGCTTTTTGTCTGCCTTTGTGCTTCTGACTTGCCCACTAACAATTTCCTATTTGGATGCTTTTTCTCTCCTCCATTTTTTTTAAATCCTTCATGCAGGTTTTTCTTACTCTTCGTCATCTTTTCCAGCTACTGTGTCACCTGCCTGCTTAGCTGAGGTCCCCACATGTCGTTACCGACACCCGATCCCCGGGATCTCTGCCACCCAACCTCTGCCGTTGGGTGCCATCACAGACACTGGCTTCAATGTGGAGGATGCTGCAAATGGCGTTTATTGCGCAGCTGCAATTGCTGATCTCTGACAAGCCAGGCCCACAGTGCCCCTCGTGGGCGGTCTGAGCTTTCAGTTACATCGCCAGATCTTCCGCACGCCGACCCCTGCCTAGGGCGGGCTCTGCTCACCACAACATCCACATATTTCCCACTCTGTTCTGGGGAACATAATCAGTGTTTATTATCGGTGTTAGTCACTTCGACAAAATTCCTACAGTGCCCCTAACACATACTTGAGGATTTTTCATAGAGTCCCTAGCTCATCAAAATTTCCACAATCTAGTGTTTCAGCAGTTCTGCAGCCAGAGCATGTAGAACAAGCTGAATTCAGGTCATTAACAGTCACCTGACCCTGATCCCCTGCACAGACAAATGCTTTCCCAGTAACACGCACCTGCTTTTTATATTTTTTTATACTACATTAAGTTTTCTTAATGCAGATTTTTTTCAACCAAACACTAATAGAAAGCATCAGGACATTTCATGCACAACTATATGCACTTTAACACAAAGAAAAACACTGTCTATATAAGTTTGCTATAAATCAAGGTGACTGTGATCACTCCAGTGCGGCTATCTGAACTGATAGCTAGCTAACAATCTCATTTTTACTTGCTCTTTGGGAGGGATTTGTTAAGCTAGAAGTAAAGTTGCACATGCAAAAAGAAAAAAAGTTCAAAGTTAGGGCTGAGAAGACCACTGCTGCTGTGCTTTGAGCCTCTGGGGTTGCAGTGAGGTCGGGCTGCATGCCAGGAGGAAGCCTGGCCAGCCTGAGAGCCATGCCGGAGTGCAAAGGCATTACCCGTTACACCATCAAAGCACTCATCGCCAGGTAACGCAGGGCCTCCCGTAAAGCCTCAACCAAAAGGGGGACATTTAGGGTTGCAGTGATGAATTCTGAATATCATTTACACCAAGATCAGTGAAAAGCATTTTTCAAAGCTGACTGTCAGGTAACAGCAGTAACTCTAAACGAGCATGTGCTTCTTTCTTCTGAAGCTGGAGACGCTGCTGTGCCTTTGTTTTCTGTGGGAGGCTGCTCAAGCAGAGTGAGGTTTCCTGCCACAGCATTTCAGCACCACGCTCCACTTTTTCCCCACCTGTTAGGAATGAACACAAAGTGTTGCTGCTGTCCTTCTAAGAATGGATGCAAAACTTGAAAGCTGAGAAAACAGAACTAGAAAGTTCAGAAAAATGTCACAATTTCTGTTTGCCAGCTTTCAATTAACTAATGGCATGAGCTTGTTCCTCTCTCCAAACTGATGTAATCTGCTAAACCAAAAACATTCATCAACTGTCCAGACAAAAAAAAACAAAAAACAAAAAACAACCTAAAGCCACCATCTTCTTCATTTTGCTGGTATGCTTCATGAAATACTGAAATGTAATTTCACTGAATCATAGAAAGGCTTAGGTTGGAAGGGACCCTAGAGATCATCTAAATCAAACCTCTCTACCATGGGCAGGGACACCTTTCAACTAGACCAGGTCGCTCAAGGCCTCATCAACCTGGCCTTGAACACCTCCATGGAGGGGACATCCACAACCTCTCTGGGCAACCTACTCCAGGGTCTCGCTGCCCTCCTACTGAAGAACTTCTTCTTAACATACAGTCTAACTTAAGATAATTACTTCATTTTATTACTTGAGACAAAAATTTGCAGTTTACCCATCTTGCCCATTTGCAACAAAATGAT